GCGGCAGCAGCAGCAGCAGCAGCCATGCCGCTTGAAGGTCCCTCAACCGCGGGGATGGCATGCAGCCAGCAATCATGGGCCTCCCGCTTCAACGCGAGCTGGCTGGCATGTCCAAAGCCTTGAGGCCTTGTTGGTCACAGGGCAGTGCCCAGTCACCGACCCAAACAGGGTCACCACCGACCGGCTGGAGGTCGGCAATGTTCGCAGGTGCCTCGCCGGCAGCGTTCCAGATACGTTTTGGCATGATTTACGTGCACATGCGCATGCCTTCATGACGCAACCTCGACCGCAGCACACAACTCCCTGACCCGGTCGGGGGGCGCGACGACGTAGACGTCGTCGAACAACGCAAACACGGCCCTTCCGTCCCGCAGGCAGGCCTGCAACTCGTGGAGTGCGGCGTAGGCAGCGAGCGGGTACAAGCCAGGCATCAAGGGTTCGCCCTGCTCCCCTCCCTCGCCTTGCGGAAGGGTGTGGGGAGTGCCATTGGCGTCGACCCACGTGGAAGAGCTGGGTGGGCTCCAACCGCGTTTAAAAAAAGTACGGTGGCCCATGGATCTTTTTTCCCCCCCGCACCTTTTTCCTCGCCATGAATCCCATCCTGGTCCCCACTCCCCTCACCGGCAATGCGCGCCCCATTCGGCGCACCACTCCTGCCTAGCGCTATCTAGCGCAGCGGCAGCCGGCTTGGCAGCGCGGCAAAGGGATGGCGTCGGCGTCTGCCGGGATTGCCGGCATGCTCCAATTGCCCAGCACAGCACTGCAGACCGCACGCTGGACCGCGACGGCCAGAATGCCCCACCACCAGCGACGCACCCACCCCTGCGCAGCCGCTGCGCGCAAGGCGGTCCGCGCTTGGCGCCCCCGGAGCCGAACGAATTGCCGCACGAGCTGCTGGGCCTCATCGCCCCAACGGCCGCCGACCTCAGCAGCCAGCACGCACAGTCGCTGGGGTCCGCCTCGGCCGAGCTCTGGATAGCGTGCGGCCTTGCGCCATCTGGCAACGGCAATTGCAGTACCATCCCGGGAATCTGCCGCGTGGGCAGGCAGGCCATTGCGGGTCAAGGCGAACACCAGCGTCGCGTCGCAGCACAGGGTGACCCCGTTCGGCGTGGCGCCGTACACAACGAGGTCCAGGACGAAGTCCTCGTGTCCGATCGGGACGCCAAGCGTGACAAACCCGCGCTCGGCAGGTGGCTTGTCGCCGCGCCACACCTCCGCCCCGAGACGCTGCTCCTCCGGCCGCGTGAAAGACTCGGGTTTTGCCGAGGTTTGCGGAAACGCCGGCACCTTGCTCAACCTCCCTTGACACCATGTCGCAGGCCTCTCGGGCCCGTGCAGGGCAGGTTACGACGTACAAGTCGTCAAGGAATGCTGCCAAAACCTCTCCAGGCTGGAGGCGGGCGTGGGCTGCGGCGAGTGAATCGTGCTGGCCAAGGGCGAAAAATGCCGGGGCCAAAGGGTCGCCTTGTTCGACCCCTTCAGCCTGTCGGACGTGGTGCACGCGCCCTGCGTCGTCCCACAACAGCCGTGTGCCCTCGCGCGCATACAGCATTCGAGCGTAAGGCAGCACGGACGGCGCCAATTTGCTGAAGCTTGCTGAGCACGGCTGCGCGACTGATGCAATCATACGCGCTGCGTCCATCAAGAGACACAACTGTGGCGGTGGGGTCTAGTTCAACCGCTGCCCTCCGCATGCCGGCCAGGCAGTCGGTACCGGCCCGCGTCTGCAGCGCGAACTGGTAAGGGCGTGTGGCGGCATCGAAGACGTCAGCGTAGACCCGCGCCAGCACCCGAGACACCAAGCGCCGGAAGACATCTCCTGTCGCTATGCCCCTGACTCCGCCGTGTGGTTTACGGAGCGCCGTGAAACGGGACATCGCGAGAGCCTCGGCTACCTCGTGCGGAACGTCCGCTCGCGCGAGGCGGTTGAAGGCTCCGGTTAAAGAAGGTCAATGGCGACCTCGTCATCCAGGAGGAGATTGTACATTTGAACCGTGGCGCCGGAAAGGCCTGCGGCACTCCCTCGTTTGGAACTGCGCAAGGCTTCCGCGACCTGGCCAACCGTCACGGCAACGGCTTCGCCTGGGCTATACGAAAGCACCTCACTGGGGACGTCACGCAATCTTGCCGTTGGTCGCGATCTGGGTCTGTGAGCGCCTGCAATGTGGTTGCGTCGCCTGGCGCAAGAGCGGCGGCCGTCAACACTTGGCATGCCCGGGAAAGTTCACCCCGCCTCACGAGCGTGCACGCGCGGGCCCCACGGGCCTCGCTGGTGTCGCCGAGCCGTTCGGGTTGTGGACGCCCTTGCCGGTCGGCGGCTCGACGGCTCAGCCTGTGTAGCTCAGCCCAGCTTCCTCGCCAAAAGAACTCGAGCCGGTGCAACAGCTCTGCGCGTCCTTGCGCGCCAATGGCGTCGCGTCGCGTGAGAAGGAGCCGCGGCAGCAGCAGGAACAACTTCCACACGCGCAAGCAGCCTGGCGGACTCCGCACATCAGCGATGGCAGTGAGGGCGGCAAGGAACGCGCGCCTCACGCGAGGCGTCAGGAAGCGGGGGACAGACTGCAGCGTTGGGAGCCGCACTTGGAACTCGTGATGAAAGTTGATATCATCCAGCCAAGCCCAAGCAGCCGGCGGGAACGAATTTCCGGGTGCCTGTGCGTGTGGCACAGGGGATTCTTCCTGTTCCCCATTGTCGGTTGCGTCGGCACGCGGCGCAACTCCCTCTGCAGCATCTGCAGCTGCGGACGCGGGGCTGCGGCCCGGGAGTTCGCGGTTCGGCTGCGCCCCCGCCTCATTGACTGTGGCAGAAACGGCCTCATCACTGCTCCCGTCGGCGCCGAAGCAGCCGGGCCAGAAGGCCGAGTGGTTCCTCAACAATGGCTTGCCAACACCACAGCGCCCGGTGTGGCGCCGGAGGACCGACGCCCACTGCCCGAGCCTTATGCTTCCTTTGCGCCGGAAGTCGCGGCCTTCCAACCTGCTGAGGCATGCCCACTCCCCGCCACACAATGCACTCCGTGTTGGCTGTGCATGGTCGCGCTGCGCAAGTGCGGGGGTGGTGCGCGCCCTGGTCCTGCGTAGTGCACGTTCGGAGATTGCAAAGAGACTGGCAGTAGCAAGGTGAGAGGAGGCAAACTAGTGGGCCTGAGCTCACAGTGCCAAACAGTAGAGATGTGTTGAGTTCGAGGATGTAGTAAGGACCCAGTGGCCTAATGGCTAAGGCGTTGCTCAATGGTCTCATCCAGACTTTGAGGCAAAGTATGGTGGCTCAAGTCCACCCTGGGTCGAGCTTGAGCGGGCACGCCGCTGCCGCCTGGTCGTGTTCGGGCTCGAAGTAGGCGGGAGGAGGCCCCCCGAAGCAGCAACCTTCATCCGCTCTGGCTCGCGCACGTGCAGCGGAAGTGCCTACTTGGCTCCGGGCTGCGGCAAGGGCAGCGTGGGTCGTGAGGTGGAGTGGCATCCTGGCCGACGCAGCGCAGCGAGCCTTTGCAGCATCATTGTTTGAGTTGCCTCCCGGCGGAGAGTGTAGTGCTGGCGGGCCCGAACCCGCCCTGCACGAAGTCCTTGCCGACGCGCGTTGGCAAGCGACCCCCAGCCATAGCCGCCTTGCCATGCGTGCTGTCTGACGCTGGGGCGCAGTGCGCAGGGACCCACATGGATTCTGCAGGCGGCAAAAGGTACCGAAACAAAAAAAAGGCAAGCTCCAATCCATACCAGGCGGTGGACCAAACATGCTGCGAAACAACCGTCGCCATTTTGTTTTGAATTTTTGCACATGGTCGTGGTAAATGTTGCGATGACCAGCCCCAGAACAAGCAACCAAAGTCACAACTGTTTCGAAATATGTAATGCGCCATGCTGCTGGAACATGCTGACCCCTCATGTTGGCCCAAAAAAGCGTGCCGGTGCGGATAAGTGGGAATCCACGTCTGCATTCTGATGCCCCGACACACATAGATTGAACACATCCTAACCATATGTGAGTTGGGACCACTTCAATGTTGATTTCCACAGCAGCGCTCCGATCTCTTTGGGCGGGGGCTGTGGCCGCAGTTGCTCCACAAAGCCACACAAACCGCCCGCGCATCCCAGCAAGCGCGCGAGATTGCGCAGGCCGAGGATGCTGGGAGGATTTTCCGCGCGCTGCCCTAGTGCACCTGCGGGGAGCTGTTTGCTGCGCTGGTCGCGGAACGGCTGCCTGATCCTGCGGCGCCACGCCGAACGGGGTCGCCCTGTGCTGCGACGCGACGCTGGTGTCCGCCTTGACCCGCAATGGCCTGCCTGCCCACGCGGCAGATGGCATCAGCAGGGGGCCGCATGGCTTCCTGCCAGTCACGTACTGTGTAGCCCTGGGCGCGGGGGCTGTGAGCAAGCGGTCCCTGCAGCCTCTGGTGCCCTATACCCCGCAGGACAGGAAGTGCGTCGCACCAGGATGCCCAGTGTGCTGCGTGGCGGTCTGAAAGTGCGGAACACAAGCCGGGGCCGCCAAAGCCTGCAGCAAGCTGTGCTGTTTGCAGCGCGCCCTCCGGCAGCGGATGGTCCGTATGGCCGAGAAGCCCAGTAGCCGTTGCTGCTGGGGACCACACGCGGAGGAGGTAATTGGCTCGCGCACTAGCGCAGTAGCGCAGTAGCAGCCACGCCGCTTGAAGGTCGACGCCAGTGGCACTTCCCACACCATCTCCTAAGGTGAAGAAGGGGAGCAGGGCGATCCCTTAATGCCTGGCTTGTACTCGCTCGCTGCCCACGCCGCACTCCAAGAGGTGCACGCCGGCCTGTGAGACTGTGTTTGCCTTCCACGACGACGTCTACGTCGTCGCGCCCCCCGACCGGGACAGGGAATTGCATGCTGCGGTCGAGGTTGCGTTATGGAGGCATGCACACGTGCAGCTAAATCGTACCAAAACTCGTACTTGGGACGCAGCCGGCGAGGAGCCTGCGAACATCGGCGACCTTCAGCCAGTCGGTGGTGACCCTGTTTGGGTCGGCGGCTGGGCACTGGCCTCAAAGTTTTGGGCACGCCGCTGGGGTCGGAGGCGTTTGTACGGAACCAGCTCGCGCTGAAACGGGATGCCCGTGATCGCTTGCTGCATGCCATCCCCGCGGTTGAAGACCCACGTTTAGGAGCTGGGTGTGGCGTAAAACCGCCGGGCGTACGGCGGAAGTGGCTGCAGCTCAGGCCTGGCGTGCAGCGCCTCCAGCATAGCCCTGCGCGAAACATGATCCTGGGCCCCAGCTGCGTCAACGGAAAGCACTGTGGCCCGTGGATCTAGCTCGGTCGCGACCTCGAGCACACGTGCAAGGGCCTCTGTGCTAGCGCGCGTGCTGAGGCCGAACTGGAAGGGCAGACAAGCTTGTTGCAGCTCGGTCGCATAGGTCTGGGCTAGGACCCGGCCAGTGAGGCGCCTAAGGACATCTCCAACAACAAGGGCCAGCACGCCACCCCTGGACTTGCGCAGCGTGACCATGCGGCCAACTCGGAGTGCAGCGAGGGCCAGCGGCGGGACATCGGCTTGGGCAAGGCGCTTGGCGACGACGTGGAGAAGCCGACCATCCTCCTCATCATCGAGCAGGATTCGAAGATGTTCATTGGTCGCCCCTGAGGGGCCTGCTGCTGCTCCCCGGCGGGCGCCTCGAAGCGATGCCAACAATTGTCAGGCGGGGAGCGGGCATGCCTCAGCAGGTTGGACAGCCGCAACTTCGGGCGCAAGGGGAGCATAAGGCTCGGGCGGGCGGCCAGCAGGATCGCGCAACTCGGTCGCGTCCGTGCCTGGTGCAAGCGGCTCAGCGACCAGCGCGCGAGCCGCAGCAGAAAGCTCCCCCAAGTGCACTAGGGCAGCGGCGCGTGAAGCCCTCCCAGCATCCTCGGCCTGCGCAGTCCTGGAGGCAAGCTGGGACGTGCGGGCGGCTTGTGTGGCTTGGTGGAACAATTGCGGCCACAGCCCCCGCACAAAGAGATCGCTGCGGCGCTCGAGCTCTTCGGGGGCGATGCGTGCATGGCCCAACAGTTTCCAACCCCGGAATTCCTCTTGAGGGGAGGCACGCGCCGCAGCAAGCCGGAGTCCAGTTCGCAGAGCGGCACGGACGGTGCCCCGCAGTTTAGCAGGCACGCTTTCGCACACGTTTGCGGACCTCATCCTCGAGGGATACGGCATCAAGCGAAACCAAGCCTGCCTGAAAAGCCTCCTCAACGGCTGCTGCGCGCCGCTGCGGCCCGGTCGGCCTATTCGCGGGGTCGGGCTGCACGTTGGCACAAGGCAGTGGCGGTGGCGCGGTGACTGCTATGCCGTCCGCGGCCACGCCCTCGCCCGCCCTTGCGCCAGGCCGCTGCGTGGGAGGGTCAAGCTCTGTGCTGGTTGTTGAACGCGGGGTGTGTGACCCGCACAGGGACGGTTGCTGTGGTGCGGCAGGCACCGGTGTTGGGGGCGGCGAGGGCAACGCATCCTCAATTTCAGGTGCAGGTGGTGGGGGGCTCAGTTGACCCTCGCGGGAGGGCTGTGCCGGACTCCGGAGCCCTCATGTCAGCGAGTAGCCGTGCCAAAGCAAGCGCTGCAGCCTCACCCAGCAAAAGGGCAAGAAGCGCCTCCTGCAAAGGGCCAGGGGTATAATATCCGTCACGAGGATCCCCAACTTCACGGGGGAGGGCAGCAAGCGAGGTAACCTGCGCGGCGCGCAAGAAGCACCACGCTAAAAAGAATTGAAGGCGTCCCCGGGTGCGGTTGGGCTGGCCGCGCAGACCATGCTCGACTCCCGACTGCACGTCGCGCACTGACAGGAATGGGCGTGCAAGGAGGGCAATGACAGCCCCATGCCACCAGGGAGCAAGGACGGGTGCGCCCGCCATGCATCGCGAGCATGACCATGGAGGAGGACAGTTGCATCAAGCAGCAGGGGCGTATACACACAGGAGTTGGTGGCTGGGGGGCTCGGCATGAACCCCAATTGCGGGCAGGCGCCTCCGGCCCATGACGTACAGCAGCTTGCGCTGGCTCCAAATTACCCCATGGCCCGCCACGAACCAGTTCGTGGGCAGCTTGTGTTTCGGGCAGCGGGGCGCCGGGCAGGGACACCCCATTAGGTATAAACCCTAGAAAATTTTACATTCCAATTCCAGACCCTATACACCCTAAACACCCCTCACCCCCAAAAAGGTATTTTTTTTTTGTCGCACCTTTTCCGGCCAATCCGCGGTCCCAGTGCGAGGCATGACGGGAAGCCAAACTCCAAGGCGACCCGTGGCACACTGCGAAA